TCTTCTTCTTCTTCTTCTTCTTCTTCCTCCTCCTCCTCCTCCTCCTCCTCCTCCTCCTTCTCTTCTTGTTCTTATCATTATCATCATCATCATCATCATCATCATCATTATCTATGGCTTTAACTTTACCAAGAAGAGCACCTTACTGTATGAGGGATGACTCTCCAGATTGCCAGTTCTGTGGTCTTTTGGGAGCCTTGACTTCATCTGAACTGAGTCCTAACTCCACACAAGGTACAAATATTTCCTAGCATGCCTTAGGTTCTCTGCTTGTCCTTGAAGCCCTCAATCTGATTGTTCATGATTTTTATTTATTTATTTATTCTTTTTTTTGTATTTTTAGGGAAGGGTCTACTGGTTGTTCAGGGTCTCATTACTAGACTGGACTCATAGTGATCTGCCTGTTTACAGCCTCCCAAGAGCTGGGATTACAGGCTCGTGCCAGCATGCTCAGTTTCAATTGATGTCTCAGTGTACCCCAGGGGTGGAGCCAGCAAGGCAGGCTGGGGGATCAAACCCCAGGCCCCTGTGCCTGCTTGCAGGTGCTTTAATCCTCTGAGCTATTTGGCTGGCCCTACAATTTTTAAACTTCTAATGTACAGTAGTTAATTTACAGTTTATAATGTTAAAGCTACTTTTCTCCTTTGATCCCATATGCACCTGGGGTAGAGGATGAGGTGTGTGTTGAAAATCATGCTTGAAAAATTAATATTCATTGTTTCTAACTGTAGTAACTGTATACCATTTTGTAAAAAATGCACCTTCATTGAAAACTTTAATTTATATCTCCTGCTATTCTATAGAAAAAAAAATATATATATACTAGTTAAGACAGTTCCTCTGGTGCTCTTCAAAGAGAATAGCTAGTACTTTTAAATTCCATATTAAAGACTATCCAACCTACCTTAAAAACATATCTAAAATAAGTCTGTATTATCCTGAGTTCAGCAGGTTGGGTGTGGCCACCTTAAACTGATCTAATTCTGGCCCAAAGATAAGAAATTATACTTTATGAAGCTCTCGTCACCATATTCAATATACAATTAATGTCATAATCTGGATTTTCTGAAATGTTAAAATCTGACACTAGTGCTTTCAAGAACTTGCTGGCCTTTTTGTCTTCAGAAACATTTGAGACAGTGGAGAGTCCAACTTGTAGGAAAGTATACCCAGTGTTTGTGTTATGATCTCCGAGTGCTGGGTGAGGGACACACGCATCAGAGGCAGAGTGACAGGAAAGGAGAAAGGAGAAAGGAAGCCAAGCCACCCTCAGGCATTTGGAGAGGTCCCTCAGGTCATCAGTCACAGGTGACCTGCACCCCAACTCTGACTGCTTCAGAAGAGTGCTGCAAATACACCTACAGACATACCCCTAGTTCCACTCTGCCAAAGCAATAGTTTATGTCCTTCTGCAATGGCTTTTTTGACACCCAGTTATTGTTTCACTAAATTTCTTTTCTTCAGTGGACTGGGAGTCTCTGTAGGGCTGTACTCTGACCACAGTCATACCTAGCAGTCAACTTTGATGTGTTTTGTAGGTTCAGCTACACCTCCACTGCCTGGAGATTTTATCAGTTGTCCATTCAAAATTTGAGCTTCTCATCCTCCTCCCCCTCCCCCTCCTTGTCTCTCTCCCCATCTCCCTCCTCCTCCTCATTATTCTCATTTTAATTTGGTGGATATTTGGCTCATGGTGAAAATCACAGATCCTTTACAAAATCTGGGCTCTTTAATTTCCCATGCCCCTGCCAAGTTGCTATATTTACAGGTGATACAAAGAAAAATAAACTGACAGGGCACACACCACTTTGAATTTCTTCCAAGTCCTAACGCTTCTCATTCTGAAGGATTTGTTCTGACCATGGTAACACTGACAGCTTTTCTCCAAGAAAAGAATCTAATGAGTATTTAGACCACCCTTATGGGGTGAAAATCAAGAACAGCAAGAAGTTAGGAGAAAGCGCCCTTTATGACAAAGGGATTGCACTTAACAAATGTTGGTACATTTGAGCAGTACAACGGGAAAATTCCAAGTCTACTGAGATTCATTATGAGAGCAGTTTTAGGGTTCACACCATGAGCTAGATATATTTAAAAACTCCAATGATTTTCTATCCACTACTCCAGGAAACTGTTACAGTAGAGAGCAGGTCAGGTTATGAAAAAGTGCCCTTTAAGATGAGCTTTGCATCTAATGCGAAAAATAAGCCACCAATAGCTGACTGTAAAGAAATATGTACTTTTCATATCCAGTAAATTCCTAAGAATTTGGAATATTTATTTTGTCTTGATGGTTTTCTCTAGAGCTGAAGGAACTGAGATAGATACCAGTTGGGAGAACTATGCTTCCAACATTCTCTTCAATTTGCTCCTGTAGCAATTTAGTCAAACAACCTGCTTGGAAATAATCTATGTGTCCAACCTAGGTGGGGAAAAACCTGCCACTTTCTATAATTCACAGAGCAGGCTTTGGCTCCCGCTCTGACAATCCATCTTAAATAGTGGCTGCTGCCCTGCATCCAGCAATTCATATGATCAAGCAATTTAGCACAGAAAGAGAAAGGCCCCACAACTTGGCATCTTCGAGGACATTTATCTGAGGAAACCAAATGGATCCAACTTTTGCCAGAGTTTAATAGCAAAGCTGTCACATTTTACACAAATGAGTACAGAGTCTGTTAGGGAATGGAAAGAGGGCAGAAGGAGGAGGGGAGAGGGAGAGGAGGGACTGCTGACTGGACTGTTTGCAAAGCGGCTGCAGTTTTTAGGGGAGTGGCTGCGCAATGCTCATAGCAGGAGAGATGAAGTAGTTAAAAATTATTACTAGAGAGGGGCAGGGACCTAAGGATGTGGATATATAAGACCGCGCCTCCAGCGCAGAGCAGCCGCTACTGCTGCGCGCTGCAAGAGTGCGGACCGGGGCGCAGGGACTCATCCTGTTAGTACCCAGAGCCGGGGACAGAAGCGAAGGACAACAGGCTGGCCTAAGTTGGGGCTGCTGCTCACCTCTGGAACAGGCACAGGACCCCCTAACTTTAGCTCCCTGTGTCCACACGCACACCCGCGCTGGGCTGTGCGCTCCTAGCCCCTCGCACCCGCGCGGAAAAGCACGCCTGGAGGCAGGTTCCACTCCAAGGCGATGCGCGCCGGAGCCCAGGCAACTGGCCTGGGGTGGAGGGAGTAGGACCCAGCGGGGAGACTGCGGCGGGAGAGTCTCGGGTGAGGGGCCTGGCTGCGAGCGACACCTGCTGCTGCCGCCTCGCCGGGATGCTGCGCGCCCTCTCCCTGCTGCTGGGCGCCGCGCTGCTCTGCGGCCCCGGGGCCTTCTGCCGCCGGGTCGTCAGCGGTAAGTCTGGGGGCGCCGCGCCGAGGGGCGACTCGGGTCTGAGGCTGCGCGACGCTGACGCTGCGGGGCTGCGGGTCCTAGGGTGGAGACTCGGGCGTGGGACTGGGAGGAGGCGCGCAGAAATGGATCTTGCCATTCTTTTCCCTCTCACCCAAAGATAGCGAAAAGTTTAATGATTCCCCAGTGCTTGTTCTTCAGCTACTGAGCAAGCTCCAGCCTGCTCCTACGCTGTACAGCCTTTCCCAGCAGTGAGTCCCACTTTCTTAGTGCGACAGTTGGCCAAGAGGCAGAGCTGGACACCTGGAAAAGGGGTGGGGCAGACGCAACCAGAAACAGAAAACCCGCGGCAGAAATGCCCCCCACCCACCCCCGCTCTGCCTCTTGGCGCTGGCTCTGCTTCCGTCCGCGCAAGGCGTTCACAGGAATGCTTTCTGGGGCTAAACCAGTACACTGCGGGTCGCTCCAGGATGTCTGGCTGCACAGCCTTTGTTCTCGGCAGGTCTGACAAAGATCTGGCAGTTTTTTTGTGCACAGGTTCTATGGGTTCGCACACCTCATTTCAAGTTAGTGACGTCTCAATGAAGTCAGCTGCAGCTGGACCGAGGCGCACCCCTAACAACTGCAGGTTCAAGCATGCATGCGGTGCACAGTTAAATCTCACTCCAGTGCAGCGCAAATGGATTAAAATAAGCAGGCTTCTCAACATTGCCTCCGAGTTTTCATGTTCAACAATAACTTACTGTCAAGCAGTTTATATTGTATCCACTTTCCTTTACTTTTAAGAAGAAAGCGCCTCTTTAAAAGGACGTAGATTTTCAGTGGCCAGGATGAACGTGAGTGGGGTCTTACATGAGGGACCGTAGCTACCCTTATGCGAATATGCTATTATGCTCATTAAAGTGTTACGATAAGCATACTTTGGATGCATATGGGCATGGATTTTAATGGTAGAGATATTTTTACATTAAAAACTACAGAAAGTCCTGTTCAGATTTTGTGCCTTTGCACAACAGGTGTCACTGGATGTAGAGATAAATGACAAATGACAGCAGCTTAATCAGTTGTGAAGCTAGACCTTTAGAAACTGGGGAATTTGACTTAATTGTTGCTGACCTTCCCTTTAGCAGATTCTGGCATTCCACACGATCAGAATACAATTCTTAAATAGTTGCCAGTCATTCCCCTCTTTCAGCTTTTCAGGCTGTACAGAAGCAGTGCTTTAGATCCTTTCTTCTCTGACATAGCTAAGAAAAATGTCAAACTGTAAACCTCTCGGATGAAGTGAAGTATGCATCAGATTGCCTTTGTTTGTTAGTACTATTCATATAAATGAATGAACAGCAGTGGTTATGGTTTGAAGTTAACGTGTCTTCTTAAGCAAATAGAAATGTGTTACTGACTTAATATACTATTGGCTGTTGGTATACTCTTGTTTACATAACTTAAAATTTCAAGATAGAAGAAAGATATCTTCAGCAAAAACAAGTGAAATAGTTGATGAAGAGCTTATTTTGTGTTATCTTAAGACATCAATTACTCCAAACCCTTTGCTAAGTTTTTCTATTAAGAATTTCAATCATCTTGAAGGTGACATCTGGAAAATTTCTTACTAACTGAACATGATCTATTTGATTTAGCATAAATGATGATGTTTACTTGCTATTAAAACAATTACCTAGTTACATTTTTCTTATGAATAATTCAATTGTCATTAGGCATAAAAATCACATTGAAGCTTAACCACTTTTAAATTAATTTGTGACTCATGCTTTGAAGAGTAATTTTTTAAAGTCCACATTTGGGCTGTGATGGGCTGTGCAGACAGCAACCCAAAGTTTACCGCATGGGAACAACGAGTCCTCTAAGTGCTTGTCTTCCTGGAAGATTCAAGTTCTCAGTGGTGCATCAACCTCCTTCTGCCACTAGGGGCTCTCCACCAACTCTCCTTTCAGGTATATGAGAGAAACTGAAGCAGTGTCTTTTTTAATATACTTACAACATATGGTGTAAAGTTTCTATTTATTAAATTTCATAGCAACAATTGATAATTTCTATTTAATATACTCAGGTAACCGCTTCCCCGCCCCTCCCACAATTAGTTGCTCACGAAAAAATTTCCCAATCGAAATCTTTGTATTTTAATACCATAAAATATTTAATAAGATACTTTTTAATGCTTATACATAAAACATTTTAAAAGCTCAGAGCACTGTCTAAAAATGAGGTGAAAATATTGTAGCAAGAAATAGCATTTCGAATAACTTTATCATCGTCTGGCCCATCAGACTTAATAGTATTTAATAGCATGCCTAGCTTAAGATTTAATTTTCTAGCAGAAATAAGGAAGGACTTTTGACACAAATAAGAATAGAACATATAAGCAGAATACCAATAGTGTAATAATATTTATTTATTTATTTATTTTTGGTATCAGGGATCAGACTCAGTGCCTTGATCATGCCAGGTAGGTGCTTAAGCCACTGAGCTGTCTTCCCAGCCTTTGAAATAATATTTAATAAATCTATTACAAATTTCAGAGCTACTTTGAGGAGCTTAAACTTGAACTGATTTCTTGCTACAAACAGAGTAAAGACTATCTGTGGGGGCTAGAATCATTTAATTTTATGAGCTACCATGGGACATATATCTTAGAACAAAGGTAAGAGGATTTACCTATGATGCATAGGTAAATATAAAAAGGAAGAGTTCAAAATTCAAGTCTATTTTAGGAGAATATATCTGAAGGGAAAGTTTTTTTTTTAATCGTAGTATTTTGACGTATAGTATTTTCTTTTCTTTCATCTTTGTATTTAAATTTTTCCTTTTAGTGTGCAGAGATGTGGTCCCCTACTGTATTTATACTATTATTATTATTATTATTATTTTTTTTTTATTTTTTTTATTTTTTGCGGAACCGGGGATTGAACTCAGGCCCTTGCACTTGCCAGGGAAGTGCTTATTCCACTGAGCCGTCTCCCCGGCCCTTGTATTTATACTGAAAAGTGACATGGTGTGTGTTTCATGGCACTTTTGCCTAGAACACTTTAATTATGAGTTTAATCTTACTATAATGCATAAGTTTTATCAAACTTATCAAATTCATGGATGATAAGTATCCTATAGAGTAATATAATGAAATGGTAAGAAAGACACAAGAAAAAACCTACTGAGTGCATCCCAGTCCATGGGACAGTGTCCTGATACATCAAAAGCATAATATATTGACAGTGCAGTTTTCAAAGGTGCAGTTACTCTAAGAATCTCTTGAGTAAGAAGAGAACAAATTAATCCTATGAGTTATCTAATAAATATTCATTTATCATTACCTTTATTCCTTAGTTGTTATTTTTAAGATTTTATTTATGCATCTTTTTCCTGAAAATAGAAAGATCTATACTTCAGTGTTAGAAAAGCAGTATTAGGTAAAAGGTTCCACAGAGGAAAGCCAGTCATTAATAATTTTGCCTTCTCTGTGGGGTATTCTTAAACACGTGGTTGGATATTTACAAGTGTAAGGTAAGTCTGTTTCTTTCAGTGTTTTAGCATATTACTGATGATATAATACTGCCTAATAAATTGAATATAGTTGTGATACACCCGGACAAGTCGAATATATATTGTTTTACTGTGCATTGAGAAAAGTACTCAGTCTTGGCTTGGTTTATTTTATTTGGAAAATAAAAGGCATAGATTGAAAAAATCTAAAGGCATATATATATATATATATATCTCCAAGATAAAAGATATTCTAACATTAACTCTGATCTAAATGTCTAGCACAACACAATCCACACTCTACTTAGAAACAAATCCCGGTGCACACCTTTGCACATATTAGCGCTCAGAAACCAGCGAGTGAGCAGTGTTCATCATGCCTTATATCTGGATGTCCCCTCAAAGCCTCCTGCGCTCATAGGCAGGAGTTTGGAGAGTGCAATTGCACCACCAGGGGGAAATAGCTAAATATGACGTCAAGGGGAGGGGCCTGTACAGAAGGGGCGCGTCAAAGAGGAAGAGAGCTGGAAGGGCGCATCCCTTTCCCAGGAAGCTCCCTCACACCCTGCTTCCGGTCGCCATGATGAAGTGAGAAGCTTTGCTCCTCCCCAGGCTTGTTGCTTTGAAACCAGCGATCTGTGGGCTAAAAGCATGAACTAGAAATAATTCTTTGCTTCTTTAAGTTGAGGGTGTCAAATATTTTGCTTTAGTGATGAGAAAAATGACTGAGAAAATATTATTGATTATATTATAACAATGATAAAAGCATAGTACTTATATTCAACTACTCTTTTGTTCATGCAATATTCCATCATTATATTGTGAGCATAGAAATCAGAGTACATGAATTGCAAGCTCGGCAGTCTTGTTCAAAGCCTGATTGTGACACTTATGAACTGTGTGAACTTAGGCAAATTATTAAACTTATTATTAAATTCCTGTTTTGTCTCTTTTAAAAATGATTTGAGAATATGGGTATTATAAGGCTTCTAGGAAGACTGAAAGTCTTCAAAAGAACGTGTTGCACAGAAGAACATGCTGCACAGAAGAACACGGTAAGAGGACAAGCAAAGAGGACAAGCCCTGTGTTCAGTGAGGCTGCCTGGAAACAAAGGCAACTTTTTCTAGTTGAATAGTTGTCTGAGTTACTTCTTTTATCACTCAGATAAAATACCCAATTCCCAGAAGTTAAGAGAGGAAATGTTTATTTGACTGACAGTTTGTAGAGGCTTCAGTCCATAATCAGCTGAGTCCTGGCAGAGGGGTGACAGTTCATGGCGTTGGGAAGGTAGCAACAGCAAAGTGAGAACACGATAAGACTCTCTTTGTCCCTCATACTGTGTGCAGGCTACCTGCCCTAGGGCGCATGTAACACCCACACCCGTAATCCTAGCCAGAGCTGTCCAAACCAGTCAGTGGACTGATTCACTAATCTCACACATCCTAATGCCAGCATCATACACTCTAAGTTCATCCACCTCAGATAAAGTCCTGGGACCACATTA